CCTCAGCTCTTCAGCTCAAGGCTAGCGCTCTACCACTTGAGCCACAGCGCCACTTCCGGCTTTTTTCTTTTTGCTTATGTGGTGCTGAGGAATGGAACCCAGGGCCTCGAGCATGCAAGGCAAGCGCTCTACCACTGAGCCACCTTCCTAGCCCTGGGCAAAGTAATTTCTTATAACATAGTTCGTATACTAAAAAAGGAAAACATTCAGAAGATTGGTTGAATGAGTATTTTTACCACATCTAACCAATTCATTGGAGAGCTAAATGCTCTCGAACTCAATTATTAGACTACCTGCAATTTGTACAGACTCATGAGTTAAGAGCATTACTTTAGTAATGGTGAAGTAGAATGTTCCTCACTTTAGATATCCATTATAGGTAGCCAGTTGATAGATTATCCACATTCTATCTGATTTTCTACAAACTTGAAGTTTCCAGGGCTTTTGGGGGTTCAATTATTTGATGACAGCAACAGAACTCAGGGAAACACTTGTTATATTACTGGCTTATTTAAAGGATGCCATAAAAGATATAGATAAAGAGTATGTAGGATGTCTGGTAGGAACCAAAGCACAGAAGCCTCTGGCCTATGGAGTTGGGGAACACTCCCCTCCCTTTCTCTTTATATGGGGGAGGGAGGGATGTTCCTTGTTGGCCTTTTCCTTTCTCAAGTAACATCTTCACTTTTTAATACCTCTTGACTCCTCATCTCTATTATCCTGAAAGGTTCTTTGTTTTATTTGTGTTGAAGCAGTGACTGGAAAATGCTGGGAAAATGGGATCCCTGGGGCAAATAATTTGTTTCTAAAATGTCTTATCTGACATTTTTTGACATTTGCTTGAGCTGTTGGCAGCCCTTTAATAATCTAGAGCATTGCATCTCCTCAGGTTTATTTGGGCTATCAGTTGAGTGAACAAATAACCTTTACATGATATGAGTATAGAGAGTGTATTTGCCCACCTTCAGTGACACAGATTAGATAAATCTAAATCCCTTTTGGTGGCACCTTCCATTATGATTGTCTAGATTTTTTTTTTTTGATTCTTAGCTGATCATAAGTGATGGATATTTGGAATTTTAACATTGATGTTACATTGTTATCTTAGTCCATATTTAAGTTTTATACCTTGATTTCTTTGGTTTTGACATTTTTTAAAAAGCACAATAGACATTGTGCATAATGGATCTGTTTTGTGCACTGTGCCTCATTTTTATGGCATTTCCTCATGACTATATTGAGGTTATGTGATTTGGTAGGAATACTATAGCAGTGATTGTATTGTTAATTCAGTCACTTAGTTAAGGTGGTATGTGCCCTGATTTTGGCTGTAAGATTAGTATTTTCTTGCTGGGTTTTGGGGGCTCATGCCTCTAATCCTGGCTACTCAGAAGGCTAAGCTCAGGGTTGGAAGCCAGTCCACGTATGAAAGTTCATAAAATTCTTACCTCCATTTAGCCACCCCCCCCCCAAAAAAAAGTCTGTGGCTCAAGTGGTAGAGCACTAACCTTGAGCAAAAAAAAAAAAAAAAAAAAAAAAAAGCTCAGTGACAGCGCCGATTGACTCTACCCCCAAAAAAGTTTTATCAGAATATGATACTATGTTATGCATTGAGTTTTTCCAATGAACTTCCATCTATTTGGTTTATATTCTTGCGTGAGTCAGTTATTACTCAGTGGGTCCTAAATGGTGATAAAGTCTCTCAGACTTTTCAACCCAGATTGGCTTTGCACAGCAGTCCTCCAGGTCTTAGCCTCCTGAGTAGCTAGGATTATAGGCATGAGTCTTGAGTCATCTGCCATAAACATCATTCTTGATATTTTCATGGATATACCCAAGATTTTTCTTACAGTTCTGTTCAATTTTTTCTTATCTCATACATTTCTGTAACATCTCCCTTTTTTTTTTAATGAGAAATTTCAGAACCCAAAATAGGCTAAAAGTTCTGTGAATATCCAATTATATGTTATTCACCTAGATTCAATAATTAGAGATTTTTTTGTTTTTGTTTTTTGTTGTTTGTGGGGCTTGAACTCTGGGCCTGGGCACTGTCCCTGAGCTCTTTTTGCTTAAGGATAATGCTCTACCAGTTTGAGTCACAGTGCTACTTCTGATTTCCTGGTTATTTATTTATTTAGTCGGTCATGGGGCTTGAACTCTGGCTCTGGACATTATCCTTCTACTTTTCAGCTCAAGGCGAGTGCTCTACCACTGGAGCCATAGCGCCACTTCTGGTTTTCTGAGTGGTTTATTGGAGATAAGAGTCTCATAGAGTTTCCTGCCCGGGCTGGCTTTGAACCGTGATCCTCAGATCTCAGCCTCCTGAGTAGCTAGTATTACAGGCATGAGCCACCAGCGCCTGGTATATAGGTAATTTTTCATGACCCCTTCCCTCTATTCGGGGTTGGCCTCAAACTCCTGGGTTTATGTGATGTTCTTGCCTTAGCCTATGTACCTGAAAATATTGTTGTATACCATGATGCTCATTTTCATAATTACGTGGTGCATATATGCATTCTTTTATTGAACAAAAGTTATATATACCACATTTCACTCCTAAATATTTCAGCATGAGTCTCTTAAAAGTAGTCATTTCCCCGCATAACCACAATTCCATGGTTATGTCTAAGACATGGAATAATTCTATAGTATTAACCACTATTTTGTATTAAAGATTTACCAGGAAGTGGTAGAGCACTAGCCTTGAGTTGAAGAGCTGAGGGACAGTGCCCAGGCCCAGACTTAAAGCCCCATGACGACGACCACCACCACCACCACCAAAAAGAACTTACCTAAAGATTTACCAGTTTTCCTGAATTTATTTCAGAGGAAGATACATGTATTACTTTAGGTTTTTGTTTCTGGACCTTTAAGTCCAGAATTGTCTTTTTCTTTCTCATGTAAGTCTTTATTATTATTATTTTTTTACTTTAAAGGAACTGGGGATTGAATTCAGGGCTGTACATATACATACTAGATGCATATTAGGTAGGCACTCTACCTCAGAGTTGTATCTTTAGCCTCTGTGTTGACATTTTGAAGGTTTATGATTGTCTTGTAGAGGGACTGGGAAGGTGGCTCAGTGGTAGAGTGCTTGCCTTGCATGCATGAGGCCCTTGGTTCGATTCCTCAGCACCACATAACCAAAAAGAAAAAAGCCGGAAGTGGTGCTGTGGCTCAAGTGGTAGAGCGCTAGCCTTGAGCTGAAGAGCTGAGGGAAGCGCCCAGGCCCAGAGTTCAAGCCCCACGACCGCCCCCCCCCCCCCCCCAAAAAAAAGATTGTCTTATAGAAATCTCTACATTCTGGATTTGTCTATTTTTTCCCCCCAGTCATATGCTGCTTAAAGTGTCTGTATCCTTTGTACTTCCTATAAACTTGAGATTTAGTCTAGATTAAAGTTTCTTAATTTGGAGTCAGTAAATTTGGATCAGAAAAATTTTGACTTTCTTTTTTCCACTACTCTAACAGATAGTTGGCATTTCCTTCTATTGCTGATGTAGACCACAAAGTAGTTTTCAGTTGTAATTATAGTTTGTTACCAGTAGGTGTATAAGTACTTTATATTTCGCAATATAGCAAGATGATATCTTGAGAAAAAGTTTATATTCTTTATTACTTCAAAGTAGTTATTAGATCTTGTCAGGATTTTTTTAAATGTGCTAAATATAGCCAGGACTTGTGACACATGCCTGTAATCTTGTACTCAGGGCTGAGACAGGGTTTTGAAGCTAGCCTGGGCAATGTAAACCTGGTCTCAAAAAAAAAAAAAAATAAAGCCGGGCGTTGGTGGCTCACGCCTGTAATCCTAGCTACTCAGGAGGCTGAGATCTGAGGATCACGGTTCAAAGCCAGCCCGGGCAGGAGAGACCATGAGACTCCTATCTCCAATAAACCACCAGAAAACCAGAAGTGGCGCTGTAGCTCAAGTGGTAGAGCGCTCGCCTTGAGCTGAAGAACTGAGGGACAGCGCCCAGGCCCAGAGTTCAAGCCCCACGACCGACCCCCCCCAAAAATAAAAAGGACATTTATTACTATATTGCAGATTATTTTATAAATTTTTAAAGTAACTTTTCAATATACGTTTTTCCTTTTTTTTTTTTTCCAATGTATGTTTTTCTCTTCACTTGTATTTGGGTATTTAAATGACATTCTGGCTGGAAGTGTGACTCAGCTGTAAGAGTACCTGCCTGGCCCCTAGTACTGGGGGAAAAAAAGTAAAATCATTTAAGAAAGGCCTATATCTGTATTGTCCATTGGTGATTACTAGCTGCTGTGGCTATTGAATACTTTTCATGTGGCTTGTCTGAACTAAAATGTGTCATAGTATAAAATGTGTACTATGTTTTGAACAGCTGAAAAATGTCACTCATATATTAGAATAATATTTTGGGTATGTTAAATAAAGCATGTTACTAAAATTTTTAATTTCACTAGATTCTTTTTACTTTTTTATGTGGCTGCTGGAAAATTTTAAATGATATATGGCTCACATTCTATTTCTGTTGAACAATGCTGGTATATAGGCTCCATGAGACTGCCAAAAGGATGCATAGCATAAAACAGATCTCATATTCCTATGCAAAGACTTGATTAGACTCATGTTGAACTTTTTTCTCCCACTAAGAATATAGGTACTATAGGACATTTCGTATTTCATATTTCTCATATCTAAGAAGGTAGCCATTAAATCTTGTTTTTTTTTTTTTGGACCAGTCCTGGGTTCGCTTGAACTTGGGGCCTGGGCACTGTCCCTGAGTTTCTTTTGCTTAAGGCTATTCTACCACTTGAGCCATAGCATAATTTTGAGCTTTTTCTGTTTATGTGGCACTGAGGAATTGAACCCAGGGTTTCATGCATGCTAGGCAAGAGCTCTCCCACTAAGCCACATTCCCAGCCCTCTTAAATCTTAATATTGTAAACTTACCCTTTGTTAGGAAGTAACTTGTCAGGAATACTTTATACCTTTCAAATATTTTGTTCTCTTTTGCCCAATGGTTTAAACATGCATTGATAATTCTTTTTTTTTTTTTTTTTCTTGCCAGTCCTGAGGCTTTAACTCGGACCTGGGCACTGTTCCCTAAGCTTCTTTTGCTCAAGGCTAGCATTCTACCACTTGAGCCACAGCACAACTTCTGGCGTTTTCTGTTTATGTGGTACTGAGGAATCCAACCCATGGTGTCATTCATGCTAGGCAAGCACTCTATCACTAAACTATATTCCCAGCCTCATTGATAATACTTGCCAGAATCAGTTATTATGATGGGGATTGCAGAATGGTCATTTTCTTATTCTATTTCATTATACAATCATTCTATCTTCTTATTTTTATTATTTCTTCTGCTTTGTAAAGCCTCTAATGAGAAGTTAATCTTGAACCTGATAAGCGTTCTGATAAATTATGGCTTAAAATCTCTTCTGTCTTTGAGTGATACTCTCAGTCATTGTAAAGGGCATCAGACTTAATTATCACATTTTATTAGAATAAAACAAAATGTTATCTAGAAATCCATAATAAGTGAGACATAGTTTTTTCTATAAGAAAGAAAAATTAGGATTTTTATATTAGTTTCTGAAGAAATTTCTTTTAGAACAGCTTTCATACAGAACAGTTTTCATTCACTTTAGGTCTTCATGTGCTTCTAAAATGTAAAACTACAACTGGAAACATCTTGATACTAATAGTAAAGTTTAAAAGGGAAAGTTCTGTGTGCGTGTTAAACAGAAGAGGTTGTAAGAGTTACTTGGTCCTCAGATGCAGGGTAGTTAGAATTATTTTTATTTTGTGGTGAACGTAGTTTTCTTTTTCTTTTTTTTTTGGGTCCGGTCGTGGGGCCTGAACTCTGGCCTGGGCACTGTCCCTCAGCTCTTCAGCTCAAGGCTAGCACTCTACCACTTGAGCCACAGTGCCACTTCCGGCTTTTTTTTCTTTTTCTGTTTATGTGGTGCTGAAGAATTGAACCCAGGGCCTCATGCATGCAAGGCAAGCACTCTGCCACTGAGCCACCTTCTCAGCCCCTGTAGTTTTCTTGATACAGAAGTTCTTATGTCAGCTTTATTGTTTATTTGATATTTGTCTGATATGGCTTTTTGTTTCTCTGTTAGAAATGACTACTGTCCACACAGGCAACATAAACTTCAAATGGGACCCCAAAAGTCTAGAGATCAGGACTTTGGCAGTAGAAAGACTGTTGGAGCCCCTTGTTACACAGGTAAGAATCTAGAAACACAATTACACAGTTGTTTTAACATAGTTCTGTGACAATATGCTTGGGTGACAGAACAAAGTTACTTAATTTGAGTGGTTGAACTTTTGTTGATACTTCTTAAGTGAGTTGATTTCATTAGTAATTGAATTTATTTAATTCTTTATAACACAGCTCTTGCTATTTTATTCAATTTTATTACCAGTAATAAAAATTACTGATTTTAGTTTGACTTTCCAAATAGATGGACTTTGAGGATAACCTTACCTTTTCTTAGAAGGCAGAAGCCTCTAAGAAATGGACATGAAACCTTGATTAAGATTTTTCACTTGCTTTAGTGTGTATTTCATTGTATAGGATTAATTGGCAGGTAATTCACTTCTACTGTGGTAGGTTTTATATTTTGTTACACATATACACACATAATACAATTGCATTTATTAGTTGTTAACACCTAGCTATATATTTTTACTGTTTATAAATGTGTGTAATATATGTATAATGTGTGTATATATCTCGATGTATACACACATGCGTATATTAATGGAGAAGAAATGTGATCTGATGGCATTTACTACTTTAAAATTAATTTTAGCCTATATTTATCTATATGAAGGTATATGTATGGTAAGATTAGAATACTTACTTTATTTGGACTTCATATACTATAGCCCTTAGGTCTTTTGCTTGGCAGATTCACATTATAAGAAATCTTGAATCATTTTCAACCTACAGATCATCTGGTATTTATTAATGATGGTTAATTTAACTTAACTAGTTAATTTAAAGCATCACTGTGAGCATTTTTTTCTTTATTAAGGGTCTTTACTCATTGTTAATATTTGTGTTAATTTGGATGATCTTCAAGAAACAAGTTATCTTAAACCATCTTGCAAAGATTAATAATTCTAGTCAACAGTGGTGGTATACCCCTGTAATTCCAGCACTCAGTTAGGCAATGAGGATTGTGATTTTTGAGCTCAACCTGGGATACATAGTAAAGACTGTTTTGATAAACATAATTGACAAGAATGTAACTCAAGTACAGCTAGATTTATTGTTAACCTTTGAGAACTCCTTGGTGATATAATAGAGACATCTAGCTAGTCTCTAATAATTATTTTTCTTTATAAAAATCAAATTAAAAACCATATGATACTTGAGGAATTAAAATATGTGTTACATTTCTTACATATTGAGAAAGTAAATCATTTCAAAATTTAGATTTACTATCATTTCAATTTTTTTTTTGGTCAGTCATAGGGCTTGAACTTTGGGCGCTGTCCCTGAGCTCTTTAGCTCAAGGATACGAGTACTTTACTGCTTGAGCCACAGCACCACTTCCAGTTTTCTGGTGGCTGATTGGAGATAAGAGTCTCACGGACCTTCCTGCCTGCGTTAGCTTTGAACCATGATCCTCAGATCTCCGCCTTATGAGTAGCTAGAATTACAGGCATGAGCCACCAGCTCCTGGTTTTCAATGTAGGAATTGAACCTAGTCTTCAGTTATGCTAGGCAAGTGTTTTACCACTGCACGACAATATTTACTTCATCTTAGTTTCAGTTAAATGACAACAGTTTAATTTACTTGTTTTTTCTTTTTCAAATGAAATATTTAGGTTACAACCCTGGTAAACACCAATACTAAGGGCCCCTCTAACAAAAAAAGAGGTCGTTCTAAAAAGGCTCATGTTTTGGCTGCATCTGTTGAACAAGCAACTGAGAATTTCTTGGAGAAGGGCGATAAAATTGCGAAAGAGAGTCAGTTTCTCAAGGAGGAGCTTGTGGCTGCTGTAGAAGATGTACGAAAACAAGGTAAATTAATATTGCTTATTATACAGAGAGGTCTTTCTAGAAAAATCCTTTTTTTCTTTTGAGGTGTTGGGAATGGAACTTGGTCTTTCACATTCACACTTTCACAAGTGTTCTACACCTGAGCTCATTTCCAGCCCTTACAAAAATAATGTTTAAAGAAGACTTTCTCATGTATGGAAATTTAACATTGAAATTCCTTCCCCCTTTTCCTCCATATCTAGTGTAAGCTAAAAGAAAAAAAGCTGAAAAAGAAGACTTTTCATGGTCAGCAATTTTTGTGTTATCAGTTCAATAATTTTTTTTTCTTTGTTTTTTGTATTTGGTGCTGGTTGTGGGGCTTGGACTCAGGGCTTGGGAGTTGTCCCTGAGTTTTTTTTTGCTCAAGGCCAGAGCTCTACTACTTTGAGCCATAGCGTCACTTCTGGTTTTCTTGTGGTTTATTTGAGACAAGAGTCTCACAAACTTTCCTGCTTGGGCTAGCTTTGAACTGTGAACCTCAGATCTCAGCCTCCTGAGTTTTATAGACATGAGCTACCAGCACCTTGCTCTTTTTTAATTCTTACAGTAAAATAGAAAGATAGTTTGATGATATTCATTCTGAAAATGACTCTGAAAAAACCCTAGAAGTTCCATTTTGTCATGCCTATTTGTCATGCATATTTATTTTGAGAAACTCAGAATTACTAGAAGGTTAATGGTAATCCACAGTTTATCAGTAAATGTGAGATAAATTGTCATTTTTGGGTTAAAAATTTGAAAAGAGGATTTCTGGAATATAAACTTTATTTCCCTTTTTTGCAGTATTTTTAACTTAAGTAGTTGTACAAAGGACTAAAATTCCATGTCAGGTTATAAGTTCAGTGTTTCTTGGACAATGTCATCCCTCCTTTTGTTCTTTCCCATTTTCCCTCCTCTGGTCCCTTCCTACAAGTTTCATTTTTTACCTAGCATACATTGAATACATTTGATTACATTTGCTTATCTTCCCTCCCTCCATTCCTTTGCCCCTATATAAAACATGTTTCCACTTACTATTTGTTTTGATAAATAGTACTTTAGTTTTTACACCTTTGGATTCACTTTAGGAGTTACACCTTTGGATTCCTTTCTTTTGTCAGTTTGTTAATGCATTGAGCCTGTATGTATTATCATGCCTTGTATTTTTGATCTAGCTTCCATATGAAAGAAAACATGTACCCTGTCTTACTTAAAACATGATTTGTTCTAGGTTCATCCATTTTCCTGCACATGATATATTCTTTCTAATGGATGAGTAAAATTCCATTGTGTGTATGTACTACATTTTCTTGATCTACTTATCTGTTGTAGGATAGTTGGGCTGTTTCCATAATTTGACCATTATGAATAGTGCAGCAGTGAACATGGATGTGCAAGTGTCTTTACCATATCCTGACTTGTCTCTGGGCAGATGCCCAAGAGTGTTATGGCTGGATCATAGGGTAGTTTTATTTTTAGTTTATTGAGGGATCTTCAAACTGCCTTCCAGAGTGGTCATATTCGTTTACATTTCCACCAACAGTGTAATAAGGTTACTTTTCCCCATATCCCACCAACATTTGTTGTTTAACTAGGGTGAGATGGAATCTCAATTTTTTTTTTAATTGTGAAAATGCTGTACAGAAGGGTTACAATTACATGGGCAAGATAATGAGTACATTTCTTATCAAGCATTGTTACCTCCTCCTTTGTTTCCCCTTTCCTCCCTTCCCATCCCCCTTCCCCACCCACCCTACCTGGCCCTCCAACCCCCTCCCACCAAAGTTGTAAATCTCATTGTACATCTCATTGTTGCAATGGGTCCACTTGTATCCCTGTTTAAATGATTTTTTTTCCCTTTCCCTCCACAAATTATACCAATATCAAATACAGTGAAAGCAGGGGTTATACCGTGTGGGAGGGTCAATGTTGTTTTGATCTGCATTTTATGGCCAGAGACATTGAGCATTTCCTCATGTATTTTTTGTCATTCTTTTTCTGAGAAGTCTCTCTTTAGCCCTTCTGCCCATTTATTGATTGGGTTATTAAGTTTTGGGGGGATTTCTTGAGTTCCTTATGTATTCTGGATGTTATGCCCTTATTGGATGTATATTTGGTAAACATCTTCTCCCAGTCTGGTGGCCGTCTTTCATACTCTTAAAATCGGCAGTTTTCACATTTTAACTTGTGTTCCAGCAAGAGATTTCAACAAAGGTGTATGTTTTTTCCTAGACTGTTGGATATCACTTAAGGTGAATTGAGCCCTTCTTATGGACAGGTGCTTTTTGGCCTTTAAGGAACTTCATTATCTCTCTGGTGCCTAGGCAGTAAAGTGTATGTAGTCCAAACATGAAATTCATCTCTATGAAAGTACCCCCTAATAATAATTAAAGAAAGGTACACTCAAGGGGTAGTCCATGAGAATGAGGTGACATTTCCAATTTTGTTTGAATTGTGAACTAAAAACCTTGTCTGGTGAGTATTTTTCTCAATATTCAGACTGAAGAAAAGTGCTTCAATACCAAAATTATAAAATTACCCATGAAATAAATGAATACAAATTTGGTGGCTTAAAAAAGGCAAATTTATCCTCTTAGTTCTGAAGGTCAGAAATCCGAAGTCATGATATTGGCAGGGTTGGTTCCTTCTTGCAAATCAGGAGGAATCTGTTCGATGCCTCTGTTCCAGCTTCTTGTGGTTTTCAGTTATCCTTAGCATACTACTACCAATGTCCTTGTATTTTGGCACATACTGTTTCTTATATATCTTTGTAAATTCTCTCTTCTTCCAGAGACACCAGTCATTGTATTAGAACTACTTTAATCTAGTATGAACTCTTCTTACTTGATAAATCTGCAAACACACTTACAAATTGATAGGTTCTTGGTGAACTTCTATAGGACACTAGAATGAACTCAAACTTGGTTTTGAATAAGCTTAAAGCAATTGAATGGTCTAGTTTTAAACCCCCTGGTTGAGCAGAGTACTATTTTGTATGGGAACGTCCTGCTCTCTAGACCTTCTTGCAGCCTATGATGAAGTTTATAATTGTAACAGATGAGTTTGGTCAAGTCTATTGAGTCTGTTGGCCAAGATATTTATTTTCAAAATACATTAAACTATTGAAGTTAACTTTTTTTTTTTTTTTTGGATTGGTTGTGTGGCTTGAACTCTGAACCTGGGTGCTGTCCCTGAGCTCTTCAGCTCAAGGATAGTGCTCTACCACTTGAGCCACAGTGCCATTTCTGGTTTTCTGGTGGTTAATTGGAGATAAGAGTCTCATTGGCATTCTTGCCCGGGATGGCTTTGAACTGTGATTCTCAGATCTCAGCCTCCTGAGTAGCTAGGATTACAGGTGTGAGCCACTGGCGACTGGCTGAAGTTAACTTATTATTTCACTTTATATTTCTGTTTATAAAGTTTCTCTGGTACAAATCTATAGCAGTCATGGTGCAGCATATAGCTCCTTCTTCTGAAAAAATACAACAATTTAGGATGCATATCTGTTGTTTTCTTGTTATTTTTCTTCATGTGGTTCTGAATCATAAAGATTTGTCTCAGTTCAACTTTGCAGTTATTTATGATTACCACTATAACTTGCTTTTTCTCTGGGACAGAAACAAAACAAAAAATATATTTCCTGTTATCATAGTGTCAGCTAAGAAGCTGAAGTGCTTTTTGTTTTTCTTTTCAGCTTTTTTTTCTTTTGAAGAATCTTTTTCTTTTTTGTGGTATAGGGGATTGAACTCAGGATATTGCTTTGTGGATGTGAGGTAATCTCATGTGAGGCAAGAATGAATGAGCTATATATACCTTATCCCTTTGGAGAATCTTGGGCAATAATAGTGAAACCTTCCTGTTCAAATAGAATAAAATGTGTATTATGGACATGGTTAGGCACAGATTCTTTCTTAATAAATTGAGATAGGTTGGCTATATTGTTGCGTCTGTTTACTTACCATTTTTGAAACCTGTAAGTGGTGTTTATTATTAATTTTTTGGTTGGTCATGGGGCTTGAACTCTGGGCCTGGGTGCTGTCCTTGTGCTCTTCAGCTCCAGGGGAGTGCTTTGCTGCTTGAGCCATAGTGCTTCTTCCAGTTTTCTATTAGTTTATTGGAGATAAGAGTCTCATGGACTTTCCTGCCTGGGCTGGCTTTGAACCATGATCCCCAGATCTCAGCCTTCTTAGTAGCTAGGATTACGGGCTTGAGCCACCGACGGCCGGCTTTTAATTGTCTACAAATCTTTGACACTTCTTTAAAAGTAAAAGTGGAGTTTTTGCTAAGCACCATTGGCTCAGCTGTAGTTGAGACTATTGGGAATGCAGAGATTGGGAGGATCATTGTTCTAGGCTGGGCAAAAAAGTGTCTGAGATCCCTATTTCAACAGAAATACTGGATGTGTTAGTTGCCTACCTGTCATATCAGATACAGAAAAAAGTCTGAATAATCTTAAACTGATGGAAACTCTTCTAGCAGCCAAGAGGCTTTTTTTTCTGTTTTGGTGTAGACCTTATAATCAGGATCAATGGACATGAAAATAAAGGAATAGTATGTGTGGCTGAGGCATGGGAGAGTAATTGTAGGATCGGAAATCAAGGTATTAAAGCTTATGCTAGATTTTGAATAAGTGAAAGATTGGAAGGGAGAAATTAGATAAGAAAAATACACATGCAAATTTGGAACAGTGAGGACTCTGACTAGGGGTGGGTACTACTAGAATATTAGCTGATAAGAAAATTTGAGTCAGGGGCTCGGAGTGTAGCTTAGTGGTAGAGTGGGAACTTGACATGTACAAGGTTTGATTCTAGCACCAAAAAGGTGCTATATTACTTATAATATTTTTATTTTTGATGTTTAAATAAAGGGGCTCACTGTGTAGCACAGACTTGCTTGGGACTTGCCATCCTTCTGCCTTGGCCTCACAAGTAGCTGGAATTATAGGCTTGCACCCATGATTCTGTCTCAGAGGTAGAGTTTAGAGTGTAGGTTGGAATGTGAGG